GAGAGATGTATGTAACCTAACCAATGGAAATTGCACGCCCTCATCTTTGGGACCAGAAGCGGTTAGTAGTAACAAATAGTTCTCTTAATCGGTGAAAAGCAAAAGCACGGAATAACTTTTTCCATCTTCGAATTCAATCTTGTGAACTAATCGAGACAAAAATAGGAGAAGGAGATATGAACAGAGAGGAATAACCAATCGATGAACGAACATGAAACCATTATTTTTCAATAGAGGTACGGGAAAGGGTTGGGGGCAATGAAGTCGGTGAAGTGGTCAGATTTTGTGTTCCAACCATTGCTGGATGTGATTCCAAGAGCCAAACGAGAATGAATACCCAACATAATAGTCAAGACCGGGCTCCCTAATGGAATGTTTAACTGATCCATTCCTGATTGATCGAATTCGTACGGAAGTTGTAACATGGGAAAACCCCAAAAAACACGACTTATTTGAATAACCCGGTGACCTACCAAATGTAGAAGTAGGATTTTTGGCAAGCAAGAAGCACTTAAATAATACGATTCGAGTGTACCATCTTCTTTCTCATTTCGAGGAAAAGGATCCGAAGGAAAAGGAAATAACGAAGGGATCCGAATAGGACCTAAATGGGAATAACATGAAAAGTCTTTTTCAAAACCTATCATTAAGGGAGTTACGACGATATACAAGAGGAATGGACAAAAACTCGTGATTGGTGTGGAGGGTAAGAAACGTTTATGAAATAGTTCAAGAAAGAGTCGTCTCATTTCCTTACTTCTTCGCTCTTTCTAATTAATTCACTTCAAGGCTGGTTCTGAATGCCGTAACATATTAATAAATAACCTCCACTGTACATACCTTTCAGTGTGGCCACTAAAGAATAGTTTAGCTTATACACTAAACTAAATTATATGCGCTTACAAAAAGACTAACCTACTAGAGGGAAGAACTAAGAAAGAGAGATGTGCCTAAGGCGGCATGCAAGCCAAGCAAACTGTGCACGCTAAGAGAAGAGGAGAGATGTTCACCTTTACTACCACAAGAAAGCTGCTTCGTGGGCCCGTCACTTCGTTCGTACTTGGCTTAGGTTAGCAACTTACTTGGCTTGCTTATATGGCCTCGCCGCCCGCCGCTAACAGAAGCTAAGCACTTGAAAAGTGGCGGTGCGCTAAGAATCGTTGCTTCTGTCAGCCTTTCTATGCAATAGTCCACCAGTAGCGGAAGAGAAGATTAGTACCAGTACATACAACATCCAGTTCTTACAGCAA